AATATTTTTAAGTGTTATTTTGCAACGGAAGTGTATACAAAGATTCATTTAAATTTTTATTTTATTTAATTTTTTATATATTATATTTATTTATCAATTAAATTTAATATTTTTTAAAATAAATTATCAATAATTAAAATAATTTATTGTTACAATATAATTTATTTATCTTAAATCTAAAATATAATTTACATGTTTTTTTAAGGGATAATTTACATGTTAAAAAATATCTATTTATTTAAATTTTAAATATAATTTATATATTTAAATATAATATTTATTTGAATATATAATTTAATACTAAATTTAGTTATATATAGTAAGAATTTAGCTTTTAAATTACTAGTTTAAATATAATTTATATATTTTTTAAATAATTTAAATAATTTTTACTCTATATAAATAAAAATTATAAAAAAAAATAAAAACAAAACATCCATAGATACTAAAAACATATTTAAACCTTTTATTTACTACATATTTAATTGCATAAAATAAATATTTACCGAATGAGATAAAACATTACAAAAATAAAAAATTAATTCTTTGAAAAGTAGCCTTTAAATTTTAATTTGTATAAGAATTAAAAAGAAATTATCACGTTTAATGGGATAAAATGGTCTTATGATTAATATTTTCCGTTCAGATTTATAATAAGAGTTAATCACATATACATTGTCAGTGTAAATTTTTTTTTACACTGATAACCAATCATATTTTTTAATAGTGTCATATCAGTTACTTATTTAATGAAATAATAATAAAACAAACAACTATATGATTAGTTACCAGTATAAAAAACTTTAGAGTAACAGTGTATAGATGATTATCTCAATGCTACGTTTCTTTTATTTGTTATTCCTCCTATATCAACACTAGTCCAATAACAACTTCAATCGAAACGACCCAAAACAACCGACAAGCCTGAGTAATATTGTGTAAAAAAGCTTATGAAAAGCAACAAATCTAAGGGAGCCAGTGTTGCCTAAGTGCCTTTGGTGGTTTCTCTACAATTGCAAATGAACAAGATTAGTTAGAACGGAAAATGTGAAAGGAAAACAAAGAGGGTGCTATAAACAAAATACAAACTGAAAGTTTGAAAAAAGATAGCGGATGATGATGGTGACTGCAAAAGGGGGAAAGTGAGAGGCGAGAGTGTAGATGAAAGGAAAAATAGAGGCAAGGATCCACCCAACCATCAGAGTAAAAGCCCCACCCATGGGAAAAATTATTACCTGTTTATAATTTCTCCTCACACGGAATTAGACAATCCATGAAATTTGCTTAGTAACGTTCCTTCAAAATGAACACGGCCAACGAAGACGGCCCTAGTTAATTTCAAAAGTTTAAATTATTCTAGTCAAGATAAGGCTACACCATGCATGATTCAAAGCAAATTGACTGAACTAATTTAAACACGCACTGGTTTCAATTACATTCAATAAATAAAAAACAATTCAACTGTACTCAACTTCTAAACAATCCAGTAGACAAGTCCTCAATGTCTCTACTCTTTATAGACTTTGTATTTACAATGTAGTGCAACTGTGCAAGCACAATTTATTGGTCGAAAAACTACCAAAGCAGACCAATTATTTGCCTGTAACGAGCTAGAACCTAGAGAATCCCATGTGACATGATGCAAATGTAATGTGGCCTTAAAATACGTATCGGGCAGAGTGGTCCTTCGCCAATTTTATTAGTCTGCCACACATTCATTGCATTTATTCCGACTAGGGAGAGATTTCAGACAAGGGAATCGAACTCGTCAAGATTCCAAGCATAACAACGATGAGTGCTTACAGCATGAATTTAAACTAGCAATACATGTGCAAAAGAATACTAAATACCATCGAGCTACCATGCTTATTATACAACTAAACTACTGTAATTCTACTTTATTTTTTTCAATCCCTTCACAGGAGCAGTTAGATGCATTGTACAAATCCCTGTGCTAGCGATCCTTGGCTGAAACTCTGTTTATAAAATTAAAAGAAGGAAATAAATTTGTTAATGTCAACCCAACATTGCTCTTTTAAGACTTAGACAGCGAATTCAGGATTCTGCATAACAGATTAATTTGTTCTATTAAAGGAAGCACTTACGGATGGTGTCCAGCACAATATTTACTCCTTGCAAGTAGACTTGTTGTGCCCTAGTCCCTTGCATCGGCTGCAATGGAGATGGCGCTTGACTACTTCTTGAGATCCAAATCGCTTTGTAGCTGGCCGACCAGGTGGTCTTTTGGTAGGAGGAGGGGTTACTGTTACCACAAGCTGAGAGTCTTTTGAAGCAGACAATTCCACACATGAAATTGGATGTACAACCTCTGAGTAAGTCAACCTGTAGCTCTCAGTTGTACAGTATCTGGAGCAATAATCATAAACACTCTGGCCAATGCCACCAATGACAGCAATGGCATGGCAGCATGGCACACCAGTCAGCTGCCAGGATTTGCAACTACATTCCCATCTGTCAATATCAACGACCTCAGTTACATCACCGCAAACCTCATAGGTGCTACAGGTTGATTGTAGAACTGAAAATGAATGAGTTCTTTGGCTTTCCTTCTTCAGCTTCTCCTCCATAGATGGACTCAACCTAGTATCCCATTGATCAGATGCTGCCTTTCTGGCAACAATTAACTCCATAATCTTACCCCTAATTACATCAACCATCTGTGTTATCGGCAATTCATCTGCATCAGCTGCCCAACTATAGAACAAATCCCCAAAGTTTGATGTCATGTGATTATACCTAGTACCTTGAAAAAATGAATTTGCCCAGTTCTGGGGTTCATTTTGAATAATCCAATTGTAGGCCTCTTCAGAAATCTTTTTAATGCTCTCCATTGAGTTCTGAAAGCCTTCTGGTTTGGTTGCATAAGCAGCAGCATATAAATCCTCAATCATGAGTCGCTTTACCTCATGAGAAAACTGCCCTTTTAAGTCTCTAAAAAGTTGCTCAGTAAAGTATCGTAGGCAGTATGCATGAAATGAACCTTCAAATATCTCTGCAATTGAAGTTTTCAGCCCCTTCTCTCTGTCTGCTACAAATGTTATGGGACAAGATGTTGACAGTACTGATTTGAGTTGAAGTAAGAACCAATGCCAGCTATCGTCAGATTCAGCATCATCAACAATGGCAAAGGCAACAGGAAATACACCATCATCTGCATCTGCAGCTGTTGCTGCCAATAATGTCCCTTGGTATTTTGATCTCAGTGGAATGCTATCAAGGAAAATCAGTGGTCGGCATCCTTGTTGGAAGCCATGCAATAAAGCATGAAGTGATACAAAGAGACGATCAAAGCTTGAATCCTCCTTTGTAGTGCACATGGCAAGACTTCCAGGATTAGCCTCCATTAATTTTTCACAGAAGAAAGGTAACTGACTATATGCCTCTTTATAAGAACCCTGAAGCTGCTCCTTAGCAATCTCTTTCCCACGCCATGCCTGAAAATAGTTAAGTTGAATTCCATATTCCTGCTTGATGTCATTGACAATGTCCTTGGGCTTGTAATCCGGAAAATCTTTCAACTTCTCCTTTATAATACTCGCCACCCAACTCCTAGTTGCTTGATGCCCTGTTGTTGCAAAAGCCCCATCACAAGTATGAGTTGGATTCATTTTCTTGATACATATCAACTGAGTAGTAGACAACCTTGACGCATGAATTCTCCAAGGACAGCCTTCTGCCTTGCATTTAACAGTTACACGGTGACTATCATTTTTCTTATATTTAAAGGCAAATTGATGAGCAATTGCATATTTACGCAAGGATTCTCGAAATTCATGTACACTGCTGAAGCTTTGACCCACACCAGTTATAGTATTCTGCCACTGCTGTGCCCCTTTGGCATACTTCTCATCGTTTGAAGAATTGATAGCTGAACCTTTGACCCACACCAGTTATAGTATTCTGCCACTGCTGTGCCCCTTTGGCATACTTCTCATCGTTTGAGGAATTGATAGGGAGACTGGGCGAAACTTCTTGAGGAATGTCCATGTCCATATTTGTATAAATTTCATTGGTATCACGAACAACATCAAGCACAGTATCAGCAACAGGAGTGTGACAAACATTGAGTGGTGTGGGTGCTGCTGCTACTGTTTCAGACAAGGTTGTTCTACTTGACCTAAAAGTCCAAGAATTCCAAAATTAAACTCTAGAAAGTTTCACAATACAACAATAACATATTATTAGCTCAGAAACAAAGATACTACCTACTGGCAGGCATGTTTGACACCTCAAGGGCAAGTACCTCTTCAATAAGTATATAGATATCAACAGTAGAAGAACTCCCATGAAATTTAATCATTCGTTGTAGATCCTTGTCATTCGAAATTGTAATGAGGGTCTTCTTATTACCAGGAAGGAAATACTTGATAGACATGCTATCAGCTCTAACATTAAACATTTCTGCCACTTCAACCTTGAACTCATCAAACTTCATTTGATTATCAATGTCGATTGCATGAGCATCACCACCTTTATATGACAGACAACCATCTTTCCCGGTAACAAACTTGCCACCAGACTGACATATTGCAATTATCTTCATGGCTGCCATGACCTAACCCTAATGAAAAAAATGTTGCAAGAATAATTACTACAATAATTGGTGGGTAAAATGTAATAAACATTCAGAAATACTCTAAAACCCTAAGCGCAAACTAGCACAAATTTCAATTATTTTGACTGTCATTGACCAATCCAAATATTTATAGGCAGATACAACATTCTTTTCTTTCCGGATTAAAGATAAGGCATTTGGTCAATCATAACAAGTTGCTTTGTTTCTCGTATTTAAATTATGAAGGGGTGTGATCGTGAATCAGAGTATAAACCCTAAAATCCGAAGAAACGCATATGAAGAATAATGTAAAGATACCCGGTTGAATTGATTATAAGGAAAGTTGAATCTCCAAAGTGAGGTAAATTGTATATGCATCAGCGGTCATATGTGCTTCCAGTTTGGCAGTGAATAGAGAGAAAAGAGAAAGGAAAATTGAAAAATGTGTTTGATTGAAAGCAACATGATGTCGTGCTCCCAAAGAAACGGTGCAAAGCGTTTAGGGCTGGAAGAAACTGGGCTCTCATATTTATAAGTCAGTTATAAGGGGTTGTTACAGATGTAAACCAATTCACTTCACCATACCTCAAGTCCAATACTAGTAATTATTTAAGTTTAACTTTTTTAAAAGGCTCAATCTCTTTTATCCTTATTTTTGTCATTTATTTATTAAAATATTTATTTTTGTATGGTCCACGTTGGATTCCGACCAACCTCTCACACACACCATTTAGACTGTACCCCTCACCAATCACTCTTCGAAGAGTGATTCGATCGGAATCCATCTTGCTTTCCCCAGATTAACCAAGTCGGTCTATTCCCGATCTCTAAAAAGCTGCTCGGTCTTTGTCCGATGTGGTCCCTCCACACAAGTAGCATAGGAGGTATCCCAGTCAACCTACAACGCAAACCATAAGGGCTGAACATTGAGCCCTGTCGCCTTATCGGCTTAGGACTGGGAGCCAAGTGTACCTTCCCGGTAAAATGCCGACTGGACCCTCCCCCACTCGTCTAATATCCGACTGGTTTCCCAGGCCACAAGCCCTCTCGCCTTATCGGCTCAGGGCTGGGTGAGCCGATAAGGCAAGTGTACCTTCCCGGTAAAATGCCGACTGGACCCCCCCAACTCGTCTAATGCCCGACTGGATCGTCACAGCGTACATCAACCCGGCTCTGGCTCAATTACACGCACCAGTGAGGGGCACTCGTCTTTCTCCCGACAGGTCCCTTAGTACGGGCCTTGTCGGTAAAATCCCGACTTGACTAACCACCACTTACCCCACGGCCTCGAGATAAGAACGGTTAAGGAGAATCCCGATAATCTCGGGGCCCACGAAGCCCATGAACAGAAAAGTATAAAACCTAAAACCCTAGAGCTAAGACGGCAGATTACACTTTTAAATGCTCTGGCTCTAAGGCACGATCTGGGAAAAAACCCTAGTCCACCTTTTGGCCGAAACATTTTGGCGCCCACCGTGGGGCTACGGTGAAACTTTTCCTACGCCCCAACAAACACAAAAAACCTACACCCTACCATGGCGAGAGGCGACAATAACAACAACTCACAACCACCAACCATGGAGGGGATGATGGCCATGATCAATGGCTTGCATGGAGGAGATGATGGCCATGATCAATGGCTTAAGGGAGGAGAATGCGCGATCCAGGGAGAGAGAGGAGGCCATTCAACGAGAAAACGAGGAGATCAGGAGACGAGCGGATGAGATGCAGGCCAGAATAGCAGCTAGTACCAGGACTGCGGAGGAGGACGTCATGTTGGAGGTCCCTAGAGACTTTCCACCATTCTCGGAAGCCATAGAGGCCGAGATGATCCCTAGGGATCATCGGATACCACAGGTCGAACCCTTTGATGGCACGCAGGACCCCAGTCAGCATTTGACGGACTTCCGGGCTCAAATGTTGATCTGTGGAGGGAGCATGGAAGTCCGCTGCAAGTTGTTCATGGGCACACTCAAGAAGGCGGTGCTCGACTGGTTTAGCGGTCTTCTGGATCGGTCGATCACCGATTTTGATGTATTTAGCCGACTCTTCATGGCGCAGTTCGCCACTAACAAAAAGAAGCCGCCGATCACGTCGGATTTGTTTGACCTCAAACAACAGCGCGAGGAGTCTCTGAAAGATTTCCTACAAAGGTTCAACGAGGTCGCCTTGAAGATAGCGTCGTTGGACGAGAGGATGGCGGTCATCGCATTTCAGAAAGGTTTGAGGTCTGGAGCCTTCGACATTGCGCTCGAAAGGGCGAATTGTCAAACGATGTCGGAGGTGAGGGCTTTCGCCTTGAGTCACATCAAGACGGAGGAAGGACAGATTAATAAAAGAGCTGCCGAAAGCCGAGAATAGGCAGGCGGAAGTAACAAGGAGAGCAGCAAACATCTTCGACCGCGTTCAGACTGGAATAAACGACACGACCGCTATAATATGAAGGAGGGCAATTTCCGACAGGCTGATCGGGGAGGTCGTCCAAGGGGCGAGTGGACACGTACCAACGACGAGGAGAAGTTCACCCCACTCAACATCCCTAGGAGGCAGATACTCCATGATGTCAATAGCGCAGCATTGTTCGAATTCCCAGCAGCGACGGAGCGCCAATTGGGTCCCTTCAAGACCGATTGGTGTGAGTTTCACAGGACGCACGGACACTCTACGGAAAATTGCTTCGTCCTTGGAAGACAGATTGAACGCTTGATCAAGGAGGGACGCTTGAAAAAGTTTGTAGCACGAAAACAGGAAGAAGACTCGTTAGATAGGCGACACAGACGCGCACAGGACGACACAAGGAGGGATAGGCACAAGGAGAGAACCCCCCCCAAGGACGCTCCAGCAAGTTCGTCGGAGATCCATCAGCAAGCAATACATGGGGATTTCAATACAGTGGCAGGAGGATTTGCAGGAGGGGGAGTCACTTCGGCTGCGCGGAAAAGGTATACTCGCTCTGTCATGTGAGTATCGGAGATCCACCGACCAGCGCAACCCATAATTTCATTCTCGGATGCCGACTATGAAGGGGTAGCCCCTCGTGAGGATGACCCCATCGTCATCTCGACGATAGTGATGGGCTATAATGTGAAGCGCGTCCTAATCGACCAGGGGAGCTCAGCTGACATCTCTTTTGGGATGCGTTCGTGGGAATGAAGATCCCAAACGACCGACTAGCACCCTACACGGGAACCCTAGTAGGTTTTGCGGGAGACCAGGTTACAGCAAGAGGGTACGCCGACTTGGAAACAACCTTCGGATAGGGCTCGCAGATGAAGACGGTAACGGTCCGTTATTTAGTGGTGAATGTTCAATCGTCATACAATATACTCATCGGCCGACCAACGCTGAACAAACTAGGAGCCGTAGTGTCAACATCACATCTGAAGGTGAAATACCCATTGCCGAATGGAGGAGTCGAGGTCCGCAAGGTAGATCAGGAGGTCGCCCGAAAGTGTTATGTGGACAGTCTGAAGGCGAGAAGGCGATTATATACAGCTCCAACCGAGAAACACATCCATTCCGTCGAGTTGGATCCTAGGATGTGTCAGTTTGATCATCGACCTACCCCCGCAAAAGATGTCAAGGAAGTGGAGATAATGGAAGGGAGAAACGTGAAGATAGGCACGTCTTTAACCCCTGAGGATGAAGAAAAGCTAATCAGGGTTCTGAAAGACAACGTGTCGGCATTCGCATGGCATTCTAGTGACATGCCCGGGATTGATCCAGACTTCTTGTGCCACAAACTGGCTCTAGACCCTAGCGCAAAGGCGGTGATTCAGAAGAGAAGGAAGTTCGGCGAGGAGAAGAGAAGGGCGATCGCGGAAGAGACACAAAAGTTAGTAATGGCAGGACATGTCCGAGAAATCCAATACCCGACCTGGTTGGCGAACGTAGTCATGGTGCGCAAGAGTAGCGGGAAGTGGAGAATGTGTACGGACTTCACCGACCTTAACAAGGCCTGCCCAAAAGACTCGTACCCGCTGCCGAACATAGATTGCCTGGTGGATGGGGCGTCGGGATACGAGTTACTAAGCTTCATGGATGCCTACTCGGGGTACAACCAAATTCGAATGCATCCCGCAGACGAGGACAAGACCGCCTTCATAGCCGATCAAGCCAATTTCTGCTACAGGGTTATGCCGTTTGGTCTGAAGAACGCAAGGGTGACTTATCAGCGACTAATGGACAAAGTCCTTGTGAATCAACTAGGTCGGAATGTGGAAGCTTACGTAGACGACATGGTGGTGAAGTCGGAAACTGTCAGTCGGCATTTTGCCGACTTGCAGGAATTGTTTGACACTATTGACAAGTACCAGCTCAAACTGAATCCGGAGAAGTGCTCCTTCGGTGTCCAGGCGGGAAAGTTGCTCGGTTTCTTGCTGATTCACCGCGGCATTGAAGCTAACCCGGACAAGTGCTCAGCGATCATCAGCATGAGGAGCCCATCTACGGTAAAAGAGGTACAACAATTGACGGGAAGGATGGCTTCTCTCTCCCGATTTCTATCAAGAGCAGCGGATAAAGCGTTACCTCTTTTTCAATGTCTGAGGAAGAACGACCGGTTCTCTTGGACGACCGAGTGTGAAGAAGCCTTCTCCGAGCTCAAGAAGTCATTGGCATCCCTGCCGATCCTGACAAAACCACGACTAGACATGCCCTTGTTGGTGTATATCTCGGCGTCCGACCGAGCTGTCAGTTCAGTTCTGGTGCAAGAGCAAGAAGCTTCTCAAGTTCCTATTTACTTCATAAGTAGGGTCTTGCAGGGAGCAGAGACAAGATATCAAAGAATCGAAAAGTTGGCCCTCGCTATACTGGTCACTACGAGGAAGTTGAGGCACTACTTCCAGAGTTACGAAGTGATAATTCGTACTGATCATCCGATTCGCCAAGTCTTGCAAAAACCCTATCTGGCTGGTAGAATGATGAAATGGTCGGTCGAGCTATCGGAATTCTCCATCAAGTACGAGCCGAGAGGAGCAATCAAAGCTCAGGCATTAGATGACTTCTTGATGGAGTTGACCCCTCCGGCCGAGGAGGACACGGTCGGTGAAACTCAGTGGATTCTATCGGTTGATGGTGCTTCAAATCTAGGAGGAAGTGGAGCTGGAATTGTCTTGGAAGGCCCAGGCAGAATTCTACTAGAACAGTCATTACGATTTGAGTTCAGGGCAAGCAATAACCAAGCCGAGTACGAGGCGTTATTAGCAGGATGATGTTGGCAAAGGAGATGGGGGCGACGAGCTTGTCAGCTAGAAGCGACTCCCAGTTGATTACCGGACAAGTGGCAGGAACCTTTCAAGCCAAGGATCCTCAATTGGCCAAGTACTTGGAAAAGGTCAAACTCTTATCGGAAAATTTCCGAGAGTTCACACTTAACCACGTGCCGCGGGAGCAAAATTCGAGAGCAGATCTCCTCTCCAAGTTAGCCAACACAAAGAAGCCAGGAGCCACCCGCTCGGTCATCCAAGAAACTTTAGCTCCGCCGAGTATAAATGAGCCACAGGGGAGTGTTCTTTTCATCC